AAAAAAAAAAATAAATAAATAAAATAAATAACTAAAAAGCACTTTTGGGCCAGGTGTGGTGGCTCACACCTGTAATCCCAGCACTTTGAGAGAACAAGGTGAACAGATCACCTAAGGTCAGGAATTCGAGACCAGCCTGGCCAATGTGGTGAAACCCCATCTCTACTAAAAATACGAAAATTAGCTGGGCATGGTAGTGGGTGCCTGTAATCCCAGCTACTCAGGAGGCTGAGGCAGGAGAATGGCTTGAACCCTGGAGATGAAGACTGCAGTGAGCTGAGATTGTGCCATTGCACTCCATCCAGCCTGGAAGAGAAAAGCAAAACTCTGTCTCAAAAATAAAAATAAAAAAATAAAAAGCACTTTCATGTGAGGCAGATGTAGCAGCTATCCCCACTGTTATAAATTAGGGAACTGAAAAATAAATAATAGGACTTAAATCTTACGTAAGCAGTGGTGTCTAAACTAGAATCTATATCTCCCAAAATCTAGGTATGAAGTCTTTTCATTTAACTCACCTGTAGGTAATTTTATATAAATGTATTCTTTTTCTTTAAATCCAAAGAAATAGACATGTTAGTTTGCAGTAGGTAATATATACAATATTAAAAAGAGATTTCATATTAATTCTAATCCTGCATTAACAATTTATCTTTAAAAAGTTAATCAAGTTTAGCATATTTTTATTTCTCCAATAAAAGTAACTTCACAACTACTAAAAATAAAACTTTAACTGCATTCAGTTTCTGTTCATTTTTCCATTAAAGAAAGCACAAGATAAAGGATAGCTGTGTTCAAGTAAATGTGTAATTATGACACACAGACTGAATCAAGTACGGACATAAAATGTTAAAACATGAAAATATATAGTTCTCTTACCACTTCCTTCCTGAACTCATAAAATATAATCAGAAAAATTAAAATAAACATGTTTTATTATTGTAACTTATAATTTATTAAAAAGGTTTTGATGTGTTAATTTCTGTAAAGTAGCACACCTTAAAGAATTTCCTAAAAATAATATTGGAGCCTTGAACATTTAATCTCAGCTAAAAACATTACTCTAAAGCTGTCATGATAAAAAAGGTTACAAAATTTTCTTTATTCTAGTCCTGAATTCCTTCTCCAAAATTTTAATATAAAAGGAATTTTCAGACACATAGTTACCAGATAATGCATACTGTAATTTAGCAGACTTAACCAAACAATAAACACCCTTACAAAAGTGCCACTGTTTTCTCACTCTGTGCTGTATTCTTCTCCCTATACATCTTTCATAGTGGTCACTTCAACTTTACTTCTAGCATCCAATTTAGACATCTCAACCCCATATTTAATAATTTATCAAAAATTTGAGAAATTTCTATAAATTATCATCTAACAAATCAAAGCAGAACCTTTAATTGTAGAACACAAATAATAAATAATATACAAGAAATATTATCTCTTGAACATCAAGACTAATACCTGGGTGTTGGAAAACTGGTCAAAGATAAATACATTTTGCTATAAAGTATTTATTTTTCTGCAACTGGGTCTAGATTTCTATTTTAAATAATATGTTAGTTATGAAACTGTCATTTCAAAAGGCTTTCCAAAAAGCCTTTAGTAAAGTTCATCTATGCTGGGTGTGTATTTGGCTCCTGTATGTTTTAGTCAGAACTATTCAAGAATTACTTATTTATTGAACATAGTCTGTAAGAAAGATAAAAATATTAAATCACAATTTTTATCAAACAGTTCAAAGTTTTTAACAATATTTATAAATGTATTCTTATACATCTGTATTCCTGATAGTATTACTCTGTAGTATGTTCATAGCGAGGATATACATTTTCTAATTTTTTGGGAAAATCTTCAGTGTACTGAAAGTTAACTGCATTTAAAATCATTATGAAACAAAAAACATGTCAAATAGCATTATCGTATCCTTTTTTTTTGAGACAGAGCCTTGCTCTGGGTGCAACCTCAGCTCACTGCAACCTCTGCCTCCCGGGTTCAAGTGATTCTCCTGCCTCAGCCTCCTGAGTAGCTGGGACTACAGGTGCACGCTACCACGCCTGGCTAATTTTTATATTTTTAGTAGAGACAGGGTTTCACCATGTTGGCCAGGCTGGTCTCAAACTCCTGACCTCAGGTGATCCGCCTGGCTTGGCCTCCCAAAGTGCCGAGATCACAGGCGTGAGGATTATCGTATTCTTAAATGGCAGCTGAGCACTGAGACTGTAAGTCAGTCTTTTATAAGTCAGTCTCAGTAGTAAAAATTAAACCTAAAAGAAAAATGTATCCAATGTGACACATTTTCAATATTTACAAAACATACTAAATATACAATTTAAAAAATTACACAAGGTAGGAGCAGAAAATCTATAAAAAGATTAAAAATTATTACTATAACTGACTATATCATTAAGTGCAAACTCAAAGAACTCAAGTATTTGTTGTAGGAAAAGAAGGTATACCTTTCATATATTTCTGATTCACCCAGTATGAAAACTAGTCATATTTTAAAGAGATAAAGAGTTAGGCCGGGCGCGGTGGCTCACGCCTGTAATCCCAGCACTTTGGGAGGCTGAGGC